AGATCCGTATCGAAAGGCAATAACAAGTAATAACGGATTAGTAAAAAAATGAAAAGTAATTTTACTTCCAAACAAATACTTATATATTTAACGGAATTACTACTGCGCAGTATCAGAAATATCCCGCAGGTTCTGAAAACGTAGGGTGCGCATCAATAAATTATACACATTATTTCGCTAACTCACAAGTAAAAGCACTAGGCGCAGTTTGGTGAACAACTTCAAGTTGTCTGCAAATGGCAGAATTGTAAAATTCATCATTCAGTCCAAAGCGCCTTCGCCAAATCAAGTCCTCTTCCTCTGCCACGGAAGCGGCGGTATTGAGCTGGTAGAGCCTGATGCCGGTGTGCGGGAAGCAGGCTGACCCCTGTGCCCCGATTTGGACTATGTTTTACTGAATGGCATGTATAATACTTGTTTTGGCCTATCATAATACCTATTATTCCTCAGTGTCTGTTTTAAATATTTTAAGTTTTCCCCAATAAACGTTATTAAACTGAGAAACGTATTTTGCCTACTTTTTACAAAACTGATTAAAGTGTGCCACCTCAAACATTTAATGTTTTGAAACCGGGCGTTATAATAATATATATATATATATATATATATATATATATATATATATATATAAAGAGAAGAGAGAGAGAGATACATCTATCCCTCAAAATTACTGAATTTTGATGGCAAAAAGCAAAGTTGGCAAACCATTTTACATTCTTTTTTTTTTTTTTTTTCACTTAAAAAATTGAAACACCCTACTGCGCAGTACAGAAATATCGCCTAGGTTCTGAAAAATATAGGGTGTATCACTAATATTACATCTTTCCAGTACTCACAAGTTACAAGCATCGCGCAGTTTTTGGGTGCATATTTTTCGAAGTTATCTGCAAATCAGGCCAAGATTGCCACATTTGCATCTTTCAGTCCAAAACGTCCCTCGTACAGTCCCTTTCCTCTCCACGAGAGCGCGTGAGGCTGGTAGAGACGATGCCCGGTGTCGGAAGCAGCGGGGGGGGGGGGCGGGGGGGGGGGGGGGGTGACCCCTGTGCCCAGGGCCCGCGCCGCCTTGCGTTGCGTTACGCCTCCGCCGCGCATCTGCGCCGTGCAGGCGGGACGTCCAGCAGGCTGCGTGCGCCGCGCCCCGCTGCGCCGTGCAGGGCTGCCACCATCTCGGCGGCGAGGCTCTCGAACGCCGCAGGGGGGCGGTTGCGTGGGTCCACAGACGACCAGTGTCCACGGAGGTGGTTCTTCTGCTCCTCTTCGGAGAACGGGCGAAGGACACATGTCCCACAATGCAACGCTTTAGTAAGATCAAGCTCAACCTACAAGGAAGATTAAATTTATTTTTTTACATACGTGTAAGTTCCTTTAATTATTCAATACGGTTGATTCTTTTTATATTTTTTTTCCAATTTTTCCTTTTTCAATATTTCCTGTAACACCTATTGATGTTTTAGTATATGTTGTATAATGTTGAAGAAATAAAAGGTTTGCAGATTACGTTTGATAGAATAAAGGAAAGATTAAAAACTAACGAAACATTTATTTTTCGAAATAAGTTATCTATTATAATTTAAAGAATTTTCTAAGAAATGTTTGAATATTAGTATTATATTAATAGAAAATGCTTGAATTTCTGAACTTCTTACAATTAATAATTTATTCATCCACTTTTGTAGAAAATGCTCTTAATTTTTTTACGTTCTATAGAAATATATCACGTAAATATCCTTTTCTCACTTCTATCCAAACTTTATTAAGTGAGATTCTAAAGGAAACAAAATTGAGGTATTTAAAAAAAGCTAAAAACATTTTTTAACCTCCGGGCGTGATGAGACCCACACGAGCTTCACTTTTGTCTCCAGCAACATCTCCAAGAGTCGGACGAGCTTGTCCTTGTAGGAAGGGCAAATCTCGTCCACCCCGTCGACGAAGACTGCGATGTCCCCCGACTCGTAAAGGGCAGCCTTGAGGAACCTCTGCGTGGACTCAGCCGAACTCGACGCCGAAGCCGCGACACCGGCCGCCGCGACACCGGCCGCCGCAGCCAGCAGTTGCACCAAGTGCTCCTGCGTCAAGTCTGCGACGCAAGAAATAGAGAAAGGGCTTATTGGTTCAAGTAGTATACAAAAGAAGGCTCCTGCACCAGATTTATTTACACCACGTTTTCTCAATTTTGAAACATCCCCATTTTTAGGAATAAAATTCCAATTTTAGCTCAAAATTCTCTTTCATGTATCGTTAATAGTATCTTCAGCATGAAAATGGTAAGTTATTTTATAATTTTTATAGCTATCATTGCTTGAAATAGTCCGGTCATCCATTTCATAAAATCATGCATACATTGATACCAACTTCCTCTTTTCTCCATTTATGTTTAAAAAATTTCATTATATCCATCAGCAATATCCTGACTGATAGTGACTACCTAACTCTAACATGAATATCATTTTCTGAAACCGTGTTTCCCCTCGAAAATGATAGAAAAATTCTGAATATGCATAGCATCACATAAAATAGGATTAGTTTTTTGGTTTAAATGTTGGTATAGGAGTTTTATGACCGTATAAGCTTTGAATACCTAAAATATCTTCTGTATGTGCATCTAACAATCCATGATCATAAGCATATATATCGCATTTCTATTATTTGTTAGTTCAATACCTAATGCATGTAAAATTTCATGAAGTGAAATAGAAAATAAATTATTTTGTCTTTGTAGTGTATTTCCATCCCCATTATAATACCAATCTTCATCTAAATCAATATGGATTTCTAATGGAGACCTATTTCCATTAGGAAATATAGCATGTGGTAAAATACCTTTTCCATCAAATTTATTGGAGTACAAATGTTGATCACGTTGACATTGGTGTTCACCACATTTTTTACATTTAATTATATCAGTATGTAAAATATTTCTCTCTCAAAATTTAAATTTGCATGAGATGACCATATTTCAAATTCTGATTCAGTTAAATCTGATATTGCTTGATTTACATTAATGTAGGGTAAACGGAACATTGGTTGGTCACACCACTATAATGTGAATTACCACTTGTTCTACCACCTTATTCTTTAATTTTTCTTGTAAATGGCGCAAAGGGACGCTTTGTGAGTGTCATATAATATGTTCTTCGACCGCAAGAGTGCAAATGTTGCCAATATCACGGATGTTTGTTAACAGTGCTGTGTGTGATCATTGTACGAGTGCGTAAAGATTTCTTAAAATTTTCTTTAGAAACCTGATATCCAACAGTGCTGTTTATTGATTACAAAGTAAACCACAATGATATATCAAAAAACACAAATAATATTGAGTGACAATGATATCAGTTGAAAATGGAAAGACTTTTCTTCTAAGACTAATTACCTTCTAACTGGACGGTCGTATTGAAATCAAACCAGAGCCACATATCATGATATAATTTAAAAAATATGACTTAAATGATGGATATGAATATCCTATTCTTAATGTACGAAACAAATACACTAAATATGGAAATAAAGTTGTTGTGGATCTAACAACCGATAAACAAGGTCAAATTTGTAGTGTGCACTTCGAGTGTATTACAGGTTTGTGGAATTTATAAGGTGATTTCCATAAAAAAACTTTTTACATTTCCCACGGGTGGACTGCATATAACTCAATAAATGTTCCTGAAAAAATATTTAGGACAACAAAGTAGAAACTACATTTTTTAAATAATGCTATAAAATTCACCAGGAGAGCAAGCAAAAATGGCACACATTCCGTTGTTACCTTCCCTTCTATTTTGAATATTCTGTTACATTTTAGGTGATTTACCTTCTATAGATACCTTCAACCCGTCGCACGGGAGATTAGAAATATTTATAATCTAAAAATATACGTAAAATGAAATCGAAGATTTTATATTCTGCGCAATTTAATAGCATTGCCTTACTGTTTATTAAAACATTGTTGAAAATTCTACAATGTTTAACCACGCTTAGTAGTTACAAGAGCTTACAATTCAAAATCAGCAGCCATTGAAAGTTTCAGTGAGTACCTGTCGGTTGCGGGAAGCCCCTGAGGAGGTTGCGGTGGTCGAGCGCCTGCAGCAGCACCGCCCACCGCTGCGCAGCCTCGGCCGCCAGGCGCTGCAGGAAGCGGCTCTTGCCCATCCCGGGCTCCCCCACCAGCAGCCCCACGCGCTGCCTCCACGCGGCCGCGTGCCGCACGGCCTCCGCCGCGTGCACGCACGCGGGCGCACGCCCACACGCGTCGCTCGCCCGCTGCACGAACGGCGCCACGGCCTGCGTCGCCCCTCGCGTGTCCTTCCACACCACCGCCCCCACGCCCACGCAGTGCAGCCAGTGCACGTTGAGGCCCCTCTCCGCGCGGGCGGCGACGCGCAGGAAGGCGGATGCTTGGGCGCTGCTGCCCCCGGCGCCAGGCAGCACCGTCCACCTGCGCTTTCACGAGACCTTTTCACAGCCAACCACCTCCTTTATCTTATCAAATTTCCTCATCAAGTATAATCTAATTGTTATTTCTATGGCTTCTATATATTTATTACATATTTTAAACGTCATAAAGAATTGAATTATTTACTTATCTTTCCTACTCTTATCCAATTGAATATGGATAAAGTCCCGCAAAGTTCGATCTTACGTCCGATCCTCTTTCAACGATATGCCGTCGTCTATTAACAAATAATGTACTTCAGCTTCCGCATCAATCACTTCCGTCTCGATTAAAGTTTTGTCCAGTTTCCCTGATACATGTGCAAATGCTGAGATGGTCCCTTGTTTTGCTTCCGGACGTAAATGTAGCTTCATTATGCACACGGTTTGTTGAACTCTCCTTTTGCTTGTATTGGTAAAAGTAGAGGTAGGGGCGAGTTACTATTTTGTTAGCAATGCAGAAAAATCTAATTTGCCTTTGTTAACCGATGCAAATACATTTTCATTAACATATCCGTGGATAAGAATTTACCTTCCATTGGAGGGTCACCGCAAAGGAAATAAGGAATATCTCCTGTACGGAGGAGGAGAACACTTGGTAGAAATATATGGCTACTTTATCTACTATTGCTGTTAAACTATTAACATCACGTGTCATTAGATTCTGTGTTGAATTCTGTGTGATGGTGACTATTTCCCAATTGATTAGCTTTACAACTTGAAACAGGTTCCACGGGCCTTAATACATGGTAGTCCTTCAGAGTTATGGAAAGAGTGGTACCCGAGAATTGGTATTTAAATTTAACACATCTCAACCTACAGTCCGTTACTTATACCACCTCCGCCAGGAAGCTAGCTGGCAAGATAAGATTCTAAAAACGGCCCAGACTGAGACAAAGCTGACAGCGAGACAGACGTGGCGAGAAATGTACCTTCCATTGGAGGGTCACCGCAAAGGAAATAAGGAATATCTACTGTACTGAGGTGGAGAACACTTGGTAGAAACATATGGCTACTTTATCTACTATTTATTTTAAATTATTAACATCATGTGTCATTAGATTTTCTAATACACCCTCTGTATGAGAAAAACATTAATTACAGTGACACCTATCAAGAAAAGTCGCCAATGGTCCCGAGAAAAGATGGTCTTCATAGACGAGGCCACTTGCCCACTTTTAGCACACTTTTTTAATTAGGCAACGTAACTAGCAATGTAAATCAAATCTACTTGTGATAATTATTACGAAATCAAGTTTGTTCTCTTTAACGCTTTTAAACATTGTATAACATAAATTAGGGTCATTTGTCTTTCCGCTAATATTAAACCGCACCCTTGACATCCATTTAGTCGATAAACCCTCTTTCTGTCCTCATCCAAAAGATCAAGAATACTAACCTTGAAGATGTGATTCAAATGCTGTCCAAATATTACAGCAGAAGGAGTTAGCAAATGACCTTCATATTGGATTCGCGCAAGAGGCGACCTCTGCGAGTTCGTAATAGAATCTCACAAAAGGAAGCAAATTGGAAACCGTAGGAATATGGTGGAACGGTAGAAGTGAAAGCTTATTTCATTAAGAAATTTAAAAAACCGGGGTTTCCTGAATGAGAAATTAATTTACCTGCAAAATAAACGTCTCTAGATGTCATTGTTTGAAGCAATAAATGCATTCCTTCGCAGGAGTATATTAAATTAACAGTAATATTCAGCCCGTTTCTATTTAATACTATTAGAGTACAGTTGAAAATCGCTTGAAGTGACATTTTAAAGGTCAATCTACGAAATGTGCCTGACCACTGAAAGAGGGAATATTTACACTTTCTATGAAAAATGAGAATCGGTTTCTCAACAAAATTACAGTTATCAAGGTAACATAATAGAAGTATCGATTGCATCAGGTTTCAATATACATATTTTCATTAATAGGTAAAGGTTTCAATAATAACAAACAAGAAATGTGTTACTACTCTATTCTTGTGGAAATTTTTCAAACAAACTGCATTTTTATACTTCACGACTTTTCGCAAAGTTTGTGTTAATGTTATTTAGGAAAATCGGACTATCTTATTATCTACCAAATGTAACTCTGCAATATCTATTATTAATTAGTTTATGAAATAGATAAATCTAACATCAGAAAGTTTTTGGTACGTACGAATATTATCTAAACTCACCATTTATTTCTTTCAATTTTTGCATCGTTCTCTGTTGGTTCTTTGTCTGTATGTCCTGCTTTCATTCCTTGTCTTCTGTGCGAATCGGGTTCTCCGCGTTTGGCATCTTTAGACATGAGCTTTTTGTACAGCTTCTCAAGAAAAGGCGCTGGAAATCCGCTGAGGACGAGATGGTCGCTCCGCGGGTCCAGCCCCTCCAGAACGGCCGGGTCGAGGGTGGCGGGGTGCTCCAGGGTGCGGGGGAGGTCGAGGTGGGCGTCTCCCGGGGCGGGCAGCGCCGCGCCCATCGCAGCCCCCCCGCGCACCAGGGCGCTCAGCAGGGCGCCGTCCACGTCCCCTCGCACGGAGCGCCACGAGGGCTCCAGGGCACGCAAGGGCACCGGACGACCCTGCACAGACACACGCTCTATGAGGCATTTCCCATAGCCTTCTATGAGGCCGGTTGTTTCTCCGTATTTATTGGCAATAAAGCAACCCGGGAAGCTCAGTACAGTCTTCCTGCACCACAGCGGTGGGCCTCACGCGGCGCTGTTCACTACACATTTTCTGCTGCAGTCCCGCTGCGAGGCGTTAGACCAAACACCTGTTCGGATGTCACCCACTGCAATTTCTGCATTTTCTTGCTCCTCAAAAATGTATGACTGGCCAGCATTAGGCGCCTCACAGTGATGTAAATTTGCAGGAGCCAGTCTAACACAGCTACCTACCTCAGGAAAAAGTGTTCTATGACACAGAATTATGAACATTGAGACCATTGGAAAAAAAGGTGTCTCGATTTCGGTGAAAATTATATGAAAAAATAGTGCTATATGTGCTCCATTTGAGACAAAAAAGTTCTCCATGAAATTGTTTTCTTTCCATGAAATTCTATTGACAACTTTAGGAAACTTACTTCCTGAATGCGCCTTGTAAATCAAGCTCTGACCTGGAAATGGAGAGTCCGCTCCATGAGTGCATCTTGAGCCTCCAGCGTCAGGTGGTCCATTCTCCAGTCCTCCTCATCCATAGTCACACCGCCCCTCAAAGGGCCCGCGCCGTGGCCGGAGGAGACGGCGACCACCTTGACGCTGCAGCCAACGGCGGCGACCAGGGCCCGCGCCGCCGCCACCTCCTCCTCCGCGTCCAGCAGCAGGAGCTGCACGTGGCCGGCGCCGCACGCGGCCTCCAGCGCGGCGCGCGGCAGCTCCCGCAACTGGCGGTCGCCCACGTAGGCCCAGCGGCCGGCGAACGCCTCGTCCAGCACCTGGACGACCTTGGCCGCGCGGTGGCCCGCTGGCACGCCGCGCACCCTCACGCCCACCGCCCTCTGGCCGCCCCCCAGCGCCCTTCTCAGGGCGACGCAGTGCTCCGCTTGGAAGCGCAGCGCCCCGCCGCCCGCCGCCGCCCGCCCCTGCTCGGCCAGCTCCTTCGCCACAAGCCACTCCACTTCCCCGGAGCGCTCTGTGAGCGGGGCGCCCCGCGTGTCGACCAGGGCCCAGTTCTTGACGGTAGCGACGTAGCAGGGGAGGAGGGACTCCCATCGCGGCAGCGGAGCTCCAAACACTGTGTCCAGTTCTTTTCTCATAAGCTCCATCAGGTCGTTCACGTGCGCTTGAGCAGAGAAAACGCGCAGGCGTGGAAGAAACTCTTGCTGGTATACCTCTTTTAGTGGATCATTATCGTACAGCTTCCATACCTGCGACAGATAACGCTAATTGTGTATTTTCAAACGATTGAAACATAAAAGGTGGAAAATTGGCAATATTATGCTCTTTATGTTTCTGCCTAAAAACTCAGAATAGCAGTGGTATTAACCACAAAGTAGTTTATCCCAATATGAATTTTAATTAACAGAAAACTCAGGCTTTCGGAACTTCATCCTCTCATCAGCGGCTCTTTAATATTGAATATGAACGAACACATTTGCATATGGATAAACCGAGCAATATAGAAGATATAGGAAGTAAAATGAATACGTACAAATTTATGTAAAAAAATTACATATTGTAATGGGACGGCCCACGCTCCAGAGTTCGACGAATATTTTAATTTTTTTAAAATAAAGAACGCTGGGAGCCCGTGAAAGTTGAGAGACAGGAAAGGGGCATTTTTCGGAAAGGGCTGGGCCCTATTGATTGGTGGGCCGGGCGGGATCGGGCACGCCATGATTCGTCACCGGGGAAATTTCGCAGCGTCTTGCCGCCGCGGTTCACCCACTCAGGTTTTCCGAGAAATACCGCGACAAAAATTTCATCGGAAATCCGCGGCGCCAACCGCCGCGGATGACACCGTGGTTCGGCGGTGCACACCTCGTGATTTGGGGGCGCCAATCGCCAAAAACCAAGCGGGTGACGACCGCGTGATCTCGCGATCCGAAGGAGGCCACTGTCGGCCTTACGCTCGGGCATTCTCTACTGCAGGCACGCGTATTCATGTGAAGATGGAGCCGCATGGACGATAGCGGGCTCGCGCGTTGCCGTCGCCGCTGCAGGGAGACGCCGCGCATACTCGCCAGACTGCCTTCGCCGCTGCACTGCCGGTCGCTCATGTACCGTCTGGGCCACGCCGCACGTCGAGCAATTGCCGCGAGGTGAGGACTACGGCCAGTGACCGCCAGAGCGCCCGAATTCTCGCTAGGGCCTGCGACGGGCAGAGGCGCAACCACCGCCGTCTTGGGCCACGCCACCGACGCCGCCGCCGGGGACGCTGGGGTGGGTGACCGTCGCCCGCTGCTCCGCCCGCCCTTCGGGATGAATTGAATTGATGCCTCATTTTACGTGGCGAGACTCGGGCCATCAGCCTCGCACTTGCGTCTGACCACGCAAATTTCGCTATGCTCCTTCCATCAACTAGCGGCGAAAGGGGGTATTTCTTGGGCGAGAAACAGGCGATTTTGAATTTAGCTCAGAGGCTAAGTCATTTAGGCTTGAGAATGTTTTACATGCAAGTAAATCTACTAACATGGGACACCCGACTTTACTTCCCCTCCGCAGGAAGGCGTACGGAGGGGGAGGGAGGCGGCCATTGATGCCGCCACCGGACCACGCCACGCTGAACTGCCCGAGTGGAGCGCTTGTGCCAGGTCCTTAGTGCTGGGGCCGACCCCATCCTTGCCCGAGGGTCCCAACGCCCGGACAATGCCCCGAGAGGACATGGAAACTACCTTAAGATTAGGATAAGCTAGGTTAAGTTAATAACTTCTGTAATCAGGGGCCTCATCTCATATGCAACCAAAATTAATTCATCTGTTAATAAAATCATGGACCAACCGGTCACGCTTGCGTCCCATTCCAATTTCAGAAATGGCATCATCATCGTCCCATCAAAATTTCGGAAATGGCATCATAATTTCATCATCATCGTCCCATCATAATTTCAGAACCGGGGCAACGCTGCAGTCAGGAAACCAGAATAGGTGAGTCGGGTCACCCTGAGATTCACCCCCCACGAACAGTTGGCGTAATGCCAGTTGCGGTCAGATCGAACACGTCAAAGAAAACATTAACAAGAAAATGTAAAAAAGGGGGGCAGGGTGTTACAATACCCAAGTAACATAGATCAAACTCGTAGTAGGTCCCAAATTGGCGCCATCTTGTGTGTCGGGCGAAGTACAGACACGTACTGAAGGAAGACGGAGGAGGAAATTGGAGTGTGGGAAAACCGTTATGAAATAAAATTATAATGGGGTTGGATTATAATTGAGACTGTTCATTGAGACACATTAAGTAAGTGTTTTTGAATAATTGTAAAATTTCTAAATTTTCCATTCCATTCGAAGTATCCCATACATTGGGTCAATATCCAAAAAGATAGGAAAAGTATTCAGCAAATATAATATCAATGTAGCTTAAAAAAGCTACCCTTTAATGAATGAAGTGGAGTTTATTTATTCAAATGTAACCATTGCACTCAGCTAATGAAGGCCAAACTTTTGAAATGGATGATTTGCAAATGATGAAAGTTTCCTTGTAGACTCAATGAACCCCTCAGATCGCGGAGACCGAAACTAGAAAATACCACATTTGCTGAAGAATGCTACGTACCTCTTGATCCACGTGGCCGAAGGAGAAGACAGAGTTGGGTGTAGAGGGGTCGCTGGTGCGCAGGAGGTCCTCGTGCTGGAAGTGCAGGTGTGGTCCATCGGTTGCCTCCTTGCGACGAACGACGGGTCGATTGGTGTAAAGCACCACCCGCACGTCGTCCAAAGAACAATTGTGTAGCAGCTCGTCGTCTTTCGTTTTGATGCTACTAGTAGTCGTGTGTTTGGTCTTGAAGTCGGCGTAAAACTCAAAATATTTTTGTAAACTGAAGTCGGTCTTGCGGGATGTGAAAGCCTGAGCGGAAAAAAAATAAATACAATTCGTGTATTCCTTTAGGGGTTTGCAGTCTGCAGGCGAGCTTCCGCTGGTTGAAGTTGTTTATTCTGTAGCCCATTGTATTTACCTGTAAAGTCACCTATGGAGTTAAACCCGTCGTGCTGGATTGATTGGGCTGGATGAAAGTGTTTAGAGGTATTTCGTCAGAGTGTTTACCTGTATAGTCACTGAAGAAGCTTACCCAATCGTGCTGCATTGCTTCAGCAAGACACAAGTGTTTAGTGTTTTTTAGAGTATGTACCTGCGTGGTCACAGGAGTTGCTGCACCAGTCGTGTTGGCGTGCTTGAGCTGGATAAAGATGGTCAGTGGCCGCGGCTTCAGCACGCGCAGCACGAGATCATCCAGGGGACGCGCAGCGGCCACATTGGAGAACAGTTGAAACGAGAGGCCCCTGCTGCGCGCGCGCAGCGCCCACAGGCCGCCGAGGAAGATCTCGTATTCAGACCCGTAAGGCGTGGCTGCATTTTTTAATCGCTCTAAGACGGGCGTCTTGGCACTGAAAAAATAATATAAGGCAATCTTTACATTGAAAAATTGGAGTCATTTGTTACTTATGTAGAAGTTGTACTACTCACGGTTCTTGTTTTCAAACTCAACTACATCATTTGTGGTTTTTCTTCCAAGTAGTTTCATTTATTTTAAGCAGCACTTTATTTTTCTTTTATTCGTTTACACGAAATAGCGTACGTTATATGAATGGGCGAAGACCAGAAAGATGTAAGAGAATTTTTAAAAATGCTGAGGAAAACGTCTTTATTTGTAGCTATATTTCAGTGGCAATGAATTGTCGTGGTTTCAATGAACAATTGAAATACCGTGGATGAATAATGAAACAAAGCACCATGATTTGGCTTTGCAGTAATATTGACTTACGTAAACAGATATCTTAGAGTTTATAAAATGTCATTTAAAGCGTTTTAGTTTTTACCCATTCATATAGAGAATGTTATGCTTTGGAATACCGTGGTTGATATTTTAAAAGAAATACATTTTTTGAAGAACTCTAGTACTGAATCGTGTCATTTCATTTAGTGCCAAACGTTTTTCCATCCCATTATCAACTTCAGGGGATGTCAATTTCGATATCCGCCCCAAGTATGTCTACGTCTATCGATAATATATGAAAAGCTAGTGGTCATCGAACAGCACACACTTTCTCTCATTTCGAAATTGACATTTTCGAAATTTCTGAGTTTTCACCAGAAATGAGATCTGCACCATTTTGTAAAGTTTTATTGTTCTATTTGTGGAAAAAGTTATGAAAATAGTTGGGGTTGTTTTTGAGAAAATGTTTTCTTTTAAACTACATACAATTTAAGCACAAATTACGCCATACAACTCCTTTTTTTAAACAATTGTAAATGGCGGTTTTTAAAATCTTATTTTACAATGTTTTATATTTTACAATTACGCGAAAAATACGATTTTACATACACTACACATAATTTGCTGGTAGAAAATAGTTTTGTGGTTAATTATATAGTTATAATAATCCGTAACCTTATTAAATATTACAGAAAGTATGTGCTTTTGTCGCGCTACTACTTATTTCAGCATACTAATCTTTAATAATCAGGTATAAATTAAAGGAGATTCTAATGACAAAAATTGAATTCAAGTTATCTTTTCCATTTTTAACGCAGCAAGAAATTTTATTCGTTAGTGCAGAAAATGGTAAATACATCTTATATTTAATATTATACTTTTGGATATTATTTCTGAACTTTTTGATGTCATCATCTCCTAAGAACCTGCAATGCTTCAAAGATATCCAAATTTGCGAATAAGAATGCAGGAGAAATAAAGACATGCGCATTACGTGGATTCATTGAAGTTTAGAAATATTTTCTATCAGAAGCTGCGTTCTCTTGGCTTGGTTGTGCAGTTGGTTCCAGGCGTTGTCTTTTCAGCGGCCTACCTTTCAGGGCTGAAGCTACGGAAATAGATGAAAGTTGCGATAGACACTAGAGGGCAGTAATAGAGTCGGCCTGAAATCCAGAATCGCAATGAAGAC